TCTGTTCCATGCTTCTATGTCTCTGGATCTATTTTGTTCATCAGTTTATTTTGTTCATTATATTCCACATATAAGTGAGATCATGTGATACCTGTCTTTCTCTGAATGGCTTCACTTAACATAATATTTTCTAGTTCCCTCCATGCTGCCCCAAAGGGTACAAGATCCTTCTTTACAGCTGCGTAGTATTCCACTGTGTAAATGTCCCACAGCTTTTTCATCCACTCATCTACTGATGGGCACTTGGGCTGTTTCCAGATCTTAGCTATTGTAAATTGTGCTGCTATGAACATAGGGGCTCATGAGTTCTTTGTGATTGGTGTTTCCGGTTCCTTAGGATATATTCCTAGAAGTGGGATCACTGGGTCAAATGGCAGGTCAATTTTTAATCTTTTGAGGAACCTCCACACTGTTTTCCATGGTGGCTGCACCAGTCTGCATCCCCACCAGCAGTGCACCAGGGCTCCCCTTTCTCCACACCCTCCCAGCACTTGTAGTTTGCTGACTTGTTGATGGTGCCATTCTGACAGGTGTGAAGTGATACCTCATTGTGGTTTTAGTTTGCATCTCTCTGATAATTGGTGAAGTTGACCATTTTTTTCATGTGTCTCTTGGTCATTTGCATGTCCTCTTTGGAGAAGTGTCTATTTAGGTCCTTTGCCCTTTTTTTTAATTGGATTGTGTGTCTTCTTTTTGTTAAGTTGTATGAGTTCCTTATATATTTTGGATATTAACCCTTTATCAGATGCATCCTTGGCAAATATGTTCTCCCATAAAGTGGGCTCCCTTTTTGTTTTGTTGATGGTTTCTTTTGCTGAGCAGAAGCTTTTTATTTTGATGCAGTCCCATTTGTTTATTTTCAAGAAACATCAACTTTTATTTCACTTATTCATGCATTCATTGGTTGATTCCTGTATGTGCCCTGACTGGGGATCAAACCCACAACCTTGGAGTATGGGGGCAATGCTCTAACCAATAAGATGCCCAGGGCCACCTTAACATTTTTAACTTTTCCTTTTCCTGCCTGGACAATGTTTACCAGCACTTATGTTAAGTGAAAAAGAGCAGAAGTCAAAATTTCGTGTACATGTGAACAACTGATTTTCAACAAAGGTGCAAAAGGCAATTCAGTGGAAAAATAATACTCTCCAACAAAAACAATGTTCCAGGGGCTGCAGCAATTAAATAGGCAAATGCAAAAAAATAAAACAAAAAGAGATTTTCAACCACGTCTCACATCATACACAAAAATTAACCCAAAATGGGTCAGAGACCTAGATGTAACACCTAAAACTATAAATTTTCTATTAGAAAACATAGGAGAAAAATCTTTATAGCTTTTGGCTAGTCAAGGAGTTCTTAGGTATGATACCAAAAGCATGACCCATAAAAGAAAAAGAACCAGTAAACTGGACTTCATTAAAATTAAGAACTTCTGCTCTTTGAAAGACACAAGAGTGAAAGGACAAGCCACGTATATAATAAGGGGCTTATGGAAAAGAAAATATAAAAACTCTCAAAACTCAACAATAAGAAACAAAATAATCCAATTAAAAATGGGCAAAAGATTTGTACACATACCCCCCTGAGAAGACATACAGACAGCAAGTAAGCACATGACAAGATACTCCACATTACTCATTAGGGAAATGCAAATTAAAACCACAATGAGATATCACTACTTACCTATTAAAATGGTTAAGTGTATCATGAATGACCTTACCAGTGGAAAACAGTTTGGTAGTATCTTAAAAAGTTAAATATACATTGACCATATGATCCAGACATTGTACTCCTAGGTCTGTACAAGAGAAATCAGCGCAGATGTTCACACAAAAACTTCCATGTGGCCCTGGCTCGGTAGCTCAGTTGGCTAGTGTCGTCCTCACACCAAGGTTGTGGGCTCGAGTTCCCGGTCAGGGCACGGGCCTGGGTTGCAGGCTCTACCCCCAGTAGGGGGCATGCAGAAGGCGGACGAATGATGTTTCTATGCTCTCTCTCCTCCCTTCCTCTCTCTCTAAAAAAATCAACAAAAACATATCTTTTAAAAAAACACAAAAAACAATGTCATGGGGATGCCACTAGCCACAAGAGCTAGACTGAGGAACACTCTACAGGACAAACTACCTATTTTCTTTAATTAAAAAAAAAAGAGAGAGAGAGAAAGGAAAGAAAAAAGAAAAAAAAGAAGTGGCAATGAAAGAAATTGCAAGGGAAAAAGAGGAAGGGGGAAAACACAGATTTAAAGACTTAAGAAATGCATTAACCAGTTGCAATGTATGGTCTGGATCTCAACTTAGACAAACCTGTTGTGTTGTTGTTGCTGTTGTTGTTTCACATTTATAGGCCAGTCGGGAAAATGTAAATACTAATTTGATATTTGGTATTAGGCAATCATTGATTGGGTGGGGGGGATAGTTTGGTGGATATGTTTTAAAAGGAGAATGCTTCTTTTTTAAAGCTGCATTCTGAGATGTTTACTGGTGAAGCCACAGCATGCCTGGCATTTACTTCAAAATCATGCAGGAGGGGAGGGGTGAGGTAGGTACAGGCACGGAGGAAACAGGGTTGACCGCGAGCCGGTTCACTGCTGTGTAGTGACTATTTGGTGGTTCATTAGGCAATTTTCTCTACTTCTGCATATGTATGAAATATGTTAAAATTGTGCAATAAACTTTTAAAAGTGCGCGTCAAAACGATTGCACTAACGTTTAAAATGCAATTTAAAAATCAGGAAGAAATACCGTCCTGCGACACGCTGACGTTACGCGCCTGAGAGCGGGAGGCTGAGTCATTTCCCTTCGCGGCCGCATCTGCGATGCGCCTCCTTTTTATGAGAAAATAAACCCCAGGGGGAAACAAAGCCTCCACTTTCGCAGTCCTCTTCCTGGTCTCAAAACCCATCTATTCTTTCCCCCCCGGCCCCCGGGTTTTTGCAAAGCTCCCGCCATCTTTTCCAGGTTTACACTGTCCGGGTTCCGGGGCTGCCAGGGTCCGGAGGAAAGCGGGTGAC